TTATGATGAATCGTTCGGTGGAAGTACAATATTGGAAAATTTTAACTTGACAACACACTAGCAGAGTGTCGGTTTGGACATTATTGATGAATCGCTTAACGTTAAGTGGATTAGAATAGTTTTTGGGTTTTTACATTATGAATAAGTATTTTCTTTGAATTTTTTTCAGTTAAAAATCTTCACTAGGGAATCATAAAAAAAAATTAAGAGTATCCACAGACCACACTTCATGCAGATACATCAATACAAGGATATGTCCTGCAATCTAGAAACTCTAATTTATTATCTCTAATTCAATATCTCTATTAACTCATCCTAATACTAATTATTACCCAATTTATTGCAATTAAAAGAAAGCCTATTGAGAAGAGCATGCATATCTACTATGGTCTTATTTTTGAGTTGAGGAATGGTGGGGATCTGGTATGTTGTGTGGGGACATTAAAAGGTATTTGAGCTAATAACTCAGGGCAATCTATGTCATTATTTAATAACTTCAAAATAAACTTGACATCATTGATAAACACATTAATAAGCGAATCAAATTTTACCTCAACCACTAAGTCCTCTATTCTTGTATCCAGCTCCCCCAACTTGAACCTTAACATATACAAAAATTGATTTTGTATTTTTTCGAGATCGTTGCCTTGCCCAATTTGATAAGGACACTGTATGACCGTTCCATATTCAATAGTTGACCTAAAAAGGGAACAATATATAATTTTAAGCGCTTATGGTCATTAAATTGAAAAAAATTTTGTTTTAAAAATCCAAAAATTCTAAAAGCCTTATTTTTATGCAAGAAATATGTTCTATAAATGACAGGTCACTTGAAAAAATAACACTTAAATCTTTTATATGAGAAAAAATATTTAACGCAACACCATGAAGATTGTAATTAAAAACTGGTGTTTCTTTACTCATACAAAAAGTATTTTGGGATGTTAATACCAATAGAATTGCTACTACACTAAGCTTGAAATCTATCTAAATCAGCTTGCAATATCATGTTTACTTGGCACCGACTTTAAAGTTAAATAATAATATGTAGTTAAAAACGCAAAAAACTGCTTACCACCGATCATAGGAATAAAAAACAATTATTACAGGCAAATGTTTTAAGACGGTCTACACAGCCAGTGTTACAACGACTGTCGCCAAGGCCAAATGCATTAAACGAAATCCGGTTAATTTAGTAAAATTATAACGTTATCGAGACTATGAAATATTGTATTTAACTTATATTAGTTGTATGTATTAATTGCAGTAATTATTGTGTTCCTTGCTTAAGAATATATATATTACACAGCGATCCACGTGAACAAACCGGTTAGGTTTGAACAATTAAGTATGGAGTTATTGTCGAAAGGATTAATTTTACAGGAAGAAAGAGTGGGACGAAACGTTTGTACTTACAACATAATGAAATTATATACTTACAAACATTTAGGATAAAGGCTATTTTTTGGGATAAGTTATATTAATTTTAATGTTGCATATTAAAGATATCCTTTTGAGTTCAACCTGGATATCCGCATTAAACACTTAGTAGTAGATAGTGGACAATATGTGGACCAACTTGTGATAGCGAAAACGCAACTTGGAGAAGAAAAATTAACAAAGAACTCCAAGTCGAATTGGGAAGTGGGATTCAATAGCTAGTTTTGAACGACATGTTAAGATATTCACAAAATACAAAACCGAATTTTGTATATTCAAGTTGGGGAAGCTGGATACAAGAATAGAGGACATAGCGGTCGAGGTAAAGTTGGATTCGTTCGCCAAAAGAACGTTTATTAATGGTGTCAAGTTTATTTTTAAGTTATTAAATAATGATATAGATTGCCCTGTATTAGCTTAAATACCTTTTAATGTCCCCACACAACATACCAGATCCCCACCATTCCTCAACTCAAAAATAAGATCATAGTAGGTATGCATGCTTCTCTCAATAGGCTTTTTTTCTAATTGCAAGAAATTGGGTAAAAATTAGTATTGAGGAATTCTGGAGGAGGATTGTGGAGATGAGTTAATGGAGATAGTGGATTAGAGATAATAGATTAGAGATAAGATATTAGAGTTTCTAGATTGCAGGACATATCCTTGTATCGATGTATCTGCATGAAGTGTAGATATTCTTAACTTTTTTAACGCTCGATGCATTTAATATCGATTAATACGTTTTTGTGGTTGCTGATTTCTATGAAAAACAATTTTTTAGAGCGTTCAAGAGTAGAGTTAGGCTGTGGAAGTAATTGGGAAAATTTAGGAACCCACCATCCGATTTGGTTTCGGACCCCGGCTGGCACTGGAATGTTTTTATTTATTATTATCATAAGCTTCATGTTGGTTAAAGTACAGTAATAAGATAGTTAATATATTATAAAGGTAAATGTGGATAAACAAGGGATATTTTATAAGACATTTTTCACATATAATAATAGAAGTAGTAGTGAAAAGAAAAACGTTATAGAAGTAGGCAACAAATAATTTTGCCATTTATTCATTTTGAAAAGAACGAAATGTATGTATCTGATAATACTAAGATATCGCACTGTTTCTAATTTATTTATATTATTCAAGTAGTTTTAGAGGAAACAGAAATAACACTAAGATAAAAATGTCCTATTTTTTTTTATCTGTTATCACTATCAATTTTCTAAAAAAAAATTTTATGCTACAAACAAATACTGTCCACAGTTTTTTTACTTTAATTTTTTCAAACATATTTTGTACATATTATTCAAGTTTAAATATAGTACAGGCGATAACTAATCAGTGCATAATTAAATGTTGATAAAACTGTGCTTATGCCGTTTTCAATTAAAAAAACAGAGATTAATTATAACACTATAGCAATGCATGGCTGTAATTATAACTAAATTTGTAATCCACTTAACTGTAAAACAATTAAAAAAGTTGAAAAAATTCGCTACTTGGGTAGGGATTATTTTTGATAATGTTTTAAAATGGAATTTTCATATTGATAATTTATTAAGTAAGCTCCGTTTCATAACCTATAAATTGGTCAAACTTAAAAATAATGTTCTTAAGATTTATTTGATTTGTACTATGTGTATTACCATTTTTTACTTTGTTTTTATTTCATTAGTTGTATTTAATAGTAATCATGGAACTCCCTATTTCCACCACAAGCTCCATAAGCTTACAGGAGGTAGGTTAATCAAATATGTAACTGATAATTATACATGTAATTTGTAATATATGTTTGATTTCTCTAAATAAAAAAAAGTAGAGATTTTTTATAGAGCAGCCAGCGCTCAAAAGGAAATAAAGAACATAATGAAGGTCACTGTTTTGATGGGATATCTGCATTTTATACTCTGCGATGGACCAAAAAAAAAAAAAATAGTTGTTTGATGGTATAAATAGAAAATGTATGCTCAAATGCGCTACAAAAAAATAATACAATACAATATTTTGACGTGTAAGTACAGGGTGGACTTTCTAAGTAATTCCTGTTAAGTTTAAAAGTTCCCAATCAATAATTGAACTTTGCAGATTAACTTCATAAGGCGTTTATGTTCAGCCTTGGTGCCTATAACATTAGCTGTAATTAATCCTTAAAAATAAACGGTTATTTATTTAAATATTATTTATAACATCATTAGATTTTATTTTGACACGTTGTTCAAATGCAAGGTTAGGCAAGATAATTGATATTATTTATACTAACTTCGTTGAGTGCACAAGATATTATTATACATGTTATATTTAGTCAACTTAATAATTTTTATATCAATTATAAACGTCGAACAACAAATCCATAAATTCTCTTAATATGTTTTTTTTAAGTTGAAAATTATATTTTAGAATTATCAACATGTCTTATAATAGTTAATATTATTTGATAGCTAAATCCTACTTCTTAATAATGAAAAATTGATGGTTAACATTTTTATAATCGTTTTATTTGTCGTTGATTGTAACAAAAAAAAATTGAAAACTTTTCATTAGAATTAGTTTGTTATTATAATTGAATTATATAATACAGAAAACATGGACCAGGTAATTTTAAATTTGGATTTAATACTAAATAAAAAACGAAACAGAGTTTTTTTTTGTACAAATTGTTTGTTTACACTTAGAAAAGACACTTTAAAATAAGAGATAAAATTGTAATATTTTGTATCGTTCCTCACAATGAACTAATGAAGAGGAAAATAAAACCTTTGTACTGAATAAACTAACTTTATATTATAATATTTTATTAAATAAAATGCTTTTTATCTGAACTCTTTGGATAGTTGCAGTTAACTGAATTGGTCGAAGGGAATGTATACAAATATACTGGTTAGGTTAGGTTAGGTTAGGTTAATACCACAAATTTTCTCTTAAAAATAATTGAATAATTTTAGTTTTTCTTTATGAAGACATAACAGTTTATGGTATTAAGTAATGGTAGCAACTGAACCGGGATGCAAATAAATTAACAAGAGAATGATTCTATTAGGAACAACAGAAGGACAATCGAATGAGAAGTGAGAAAAATTGTATTTGTTCGTGTATGATTTAAAAATGAACTTTTAACTTGAATATACAAAATGTCCATCTCTGAAACCGACAAATCAACAAGTGAGAATCACACAAGTGTGTGCAGTGTGTGTGTGTGTGTGTGTGTGTGTGTGTGCACTTTTATGAGCTAACAGACTTAGACATAACAATGGGTACCCAATAATAATAATAATATTAATCGGTGTTGTGCACGGCACGTGAACTTGACTTTGGGCTCGACTACTTAGACATATATATATATATATATATATATATATATATATATATATATATAGGTATAATAACAACATAGGTATTCTAAAGCGATATCCGACCAGCAGAATAATCGTTATTATTGTGATTACGTTGTACGGATAGGAGACGCGATGGCTCCTCCTCTTCGGCATTGAAAAAAAAACCATCTAAGAGGTCTCTCTTAGGCACAACTATATTATAATTTTTTTCGCGTTAACCCCTGGCGGTGCGGTCGATGGTTCGCATTTAGTGTGCACAACTTACCACGCCAAGTTGTAGCAAAAATTGTTATTAGAGAAACGTATTTGACTTTTTTTTTTTACTTGGACTTTAATAAAAAAAAAAAGTTTAGACGTTTATCGCGCAACGATCGTATCCGCTTAAACCGCCAGTCCTTTTTTTTTTTTACCGGTTATAATATATAGGTATATATTATAAATATATACATTTATATTGACAAAAAAAAAATTTATAGAAGGACTTTTTGTGTTATTTCAAAGCGAAAAAACAGTTCAACACTTTTGATTTTATTGTCAGAGTTTATATTTTACACAAGATTTTACTTTGATTTTGGATTAATACAAGGCAGTCTACGTCGAAGAGCACACACAAACCGTAAGTCGTCTCAAAATTATTTTTACTTACATCACATACTCATACTTAGGGCTTTGTATATTATACGAAATTAACGTTAAGTTAATTAACTGTTAGATGTGATTTAGGAAAGTTCTTGTCAAAGTTAAACGGTTTTCTTTTGTTTATAATTTGACATTATTTAATTGCTATTCAATAGAGTTTCACATTGAAGTAATCCTTGTTGATCCTATGATTTATAAATCATATTTAAATAAACCACAGTAAATTAGTAAAAAACAAAACACAATTAAAACATTTTAAGTTAAAGTACGATATTTGTAAAATTTTATAGTTTTAAAAGAATTTTTTTTAATTGTTTTCACAAATAATTGTAGAAAACAATTATTTAAAAAATGTGTTATAAAATTAACAGTTTTTCTTTCTAATAAATCATTTGAATGTTCTTTAGGAATTAAACTACACTTATTATGAAACATTACAATGGGAATTAATTTGAATGTCTCTAAAACATAATGGTGTTGCCGAATGGGAATTATTTGGTTGGATATTTCCACTGAAAACATTTCCACTTTAAATATTTAAATGATATTTCTTGTATATTTTTTTTTTTGATGATTCAGTTAAATTGCTATTTACATCATTTTTATTTCTATAATAAAATATTTGAGTTGAATAGAAAAAAATAATTTTTTAGACTATTTTATCGATCATGGTTCGAATACAAATAGAAAAAAAATTAAATTATTTCATTTAGCCTTTTGATATTATTTTATTATGAACGCATTTTTATTTTTAATAAGTATTTGGATTTTAAACTAAACAAATGCAATAATATCACGTTGTTAGACATTCAAATGCATTAGGATAACGAAATCGCTGAATAGTTGTTAAATTCCAGTTATAAATAATTCATAGCATCAAGGTGGCATCAATATTTATTGACCTAGTACTGATAAATTACTAGGTGTACTATGAATCAGAATAATGATATTGTACCAGGTATAAATTTGCACAAAATTAAAACATGTTTTCAGCCAATTAACGGCATACTATTACAATTAAAACTTATTAGAGTGCAAGCAACTAATTAATTATCAAGTCCAAAAGCATGTTTTTTTGTAGAAGATAAACAAAGTTCAACACAACTTTTGCAAATTTGGAAAAAAAATTGTTGAAAGATAAAACATTTATTTTCTATTAAATTGTTTGCAATTTTTCAGTTGTTTATTTTTTAAATATTTTTTTTTATACCAGTTTACAATAACTTTTTCAGTGTTTTCCACTTTTAACGTTTAGAACTTAAAATACGGTAAAGAACAAAATTGAGGTAACTTTTTTAATTAAAAACTATTGCCCGAGCATTTTGATTGGTCGCCAAACAGGTTTTGGATTCCATTTTAAAATAAATGGTTTAAAAGTTAAAGCCAACTCTGGAAAATACCATTAACTAAAATGTCTTAAAGAACTAAAACTAAAAAAATTCAATTATTTTTAAGAGAGAATTCATGGTATTAACCTAACCTAACCTAACAGGTATTTATATTTGTACACATTCCCATCGACCAATTTAGTTAACTGCAACTATCAAAAGAGTTCAGATATTAGGCATTTTATATAATAAAATATTATAATATAAAGTTAGTTTATTAAATACTAAGGTTTTATTTTCCTCTTCATTAATTCATTGTGAGGAACGATACAAAATATTACAATTTTATCTCTTATTTTAAAGCGTCTTTTCTAAGTGTAAACAAACAATTTGTACAAAAAAAAAACTCTGTTTCGTTTTTTGATTTTGTATTCAACCCAAATTTAAAATTAGCTTGCCCGTGTTTTCTGTATTATATAATTCAATTATAATAACAAACCAATTCTAATGAAAAGTTTTCAATTTTTTTTTGTAACAATCAACGACAAATAAAACGATTATAAAAATGTTAACCATCAATTTTTCATTATTAAGAAGTAGGATTTAGCTATCAAATAATATTAACTATTATAAGACATCTTAATAATTATAAAATATAATTTTCAACTTAAATAAAACATTTTAAGAGAATTTATGGATTTGTTGTTCGATGTTTATAATTGATATAAAAATTATTAAGTTGACTAAATATAACATGTATAACAATATCTTGTGCACTCAACGAAGTTAGTATAAATCATATCAATTATCTTGCCTAACCTTGCATTTGAACAACGTGTCAAAATAAAATCTAATGATGTTATAAATAATATTTAAATAAATAACCGTTTATTGTTAAGGATTAATTACTAATAGGCAGCTAATGTCATAGGCACCAAGGCTGAACATAAACGCCTTATGAAGTTAATCTGCAAAGTTAAATTATTGATTGGAAACTTTTAAATTTAACAGGGCTTACTCATGAAGTCCACCCTGTACATTAACGTTAAAATATTATACTGTAATCTTTTTGTGAAGCGCATTTGAGCATAAATTTTCTATATATACCATAAGACAACTATTTTTTTTTTTTTTGGTCCATCGCAGAGTATAAAATGCAGATATGCCATCAAGACAGTGACCTTCATTATGTTATTATTTTATTTATCGTTGTGCAATAAGTTTAAATAAATTACCGGTCATAATAAACGATAATTTATCATAAAAAGTGATTTGAGAAGTTATTATTATCAAAGGAATATCGCCTATAGGAAGTCCCTAATCCCAATCATGCATGCTGTTCTACAAATGGCCAAGTGTAATAGTCTTCTTCGACACATTTGTCGGTATTAATCAAATCACTTGCCATTAAGACGGTTAGTTTATCATTAATATCCGTCAAGAAAAGAGTTACTTGTATGCATGTATAATATTGTTAACATCTTGCCTAAGAGAGAAGAACGTCTAAATGCATTTATTTCATTGAAAATGTACAATAATAAGTCTCGAGTATGCTTAACTATGTCTACCAAGCTTATATAATATAAAATCCTTCAAGATAGCTAAGATAAAAGGTTTACTTGAGGTCTTTGGTAAGCTTTGACGAAGGGAAGTTTTTGAATATTATCATGAAAAGTAATATAAGCTAATAAACTAATATAAGTAATCAACTACACTATATGTATAATAATTGTAAAACAAAAAACAAAAGACAAAAAAGTGGTATTAATCCATTAATAAAAGGAACAATTTTTTTGCTATTATATTACACACCATCATTTTGCAAATGATTTTCACAATACTAATGTAAACCCATTATATTGGATCCGTATGGCCCGCTATTTATCTGAAAGTCACCATAAAATAATAAAGAAATAAAAATAAAACAATAAAACTAAGTGCTATAAAACAAAAAAAACAAATTTAATGGGTAAATTTTTTAACGATGGGTTTTGCCCGCTATAAATTTTCAAACTATTTAGCTGGTTTTTAGAAAAGGCAATTTAAAAACGGTCTGCAAACAATTTTACATTAAATTTCCACTTAACTTTGTGTGAAATATATGATTAGATTGTAAACTAGTGTTAGAATTTCTATGGGTCACTTATTTAGAAACACTCTTGTCTGCCGGTTACCTTTGACCCAAATATTTTCTTTATTGTCCCCGTTTTGATTTTCAACAAATACAAATTAAAATTGTTCGTACTGTCTAAAACGTCATACTAAAATAAAAGTTATGAGTTATTTAATTTTCGTTTTTAAGAAAATATATAATAAGTATTGCATCTGATTTTTAAAATATTTTGTGTTCAATTTTATAAAAAAAAAAGCATACTCACTTCTTTGCCATGATTTTTTTTTTACCGTTTAATAATTATATCAAGGTGTAAAGTGACTAAAATACCAAACAGACTATTGATCTAGGATTTTCCAGAAATTTAAACTCTAACCTCACCGAACCTAAACGAACCTAACCGAACCTAACCTAAACGAACCTAACCTAACCTAACCTAACCGAACCTTACCTTTAATGTGTATAAAACAATAGTTTTAATCTGTCACACTAATCGTTATGAATAATTTAGAGCACATACAAAAATGGAATATATTTTTTTTTATTGGTTATTATTCTTCTGCTTGCATGTTGTGCAACTCACAAATTAGCTAAATTGAGTTGGCAACACAGTTTTTTTTTCTCGAAATTTCGCGGGAAATCGGCAGGTGGGCTCAGATTTTCCAAAAAAAAAAATTTATATATAACACATAAGACATATTTAAAATTGATTTGTTTTTTTTTTTTTGCTCTAGTTGGTTTAAACAGAATTGGCGGTGTCGCTTTCTGGCGAAATTCAGAAACACAAACAACAATGTTGATAATAATATTGTAATATAATAATATTAACAAAGGTCGGTTATGTTGATATCAAAATCCCCGACCTATTTAATAATACAATTTGCCGACGGTCTTTTTTTTATCGGATTAACTCAATAAATTATTATTATTATCAACAGTAATAATAACACCAGCTACTGCAGCAAACGCGGTCCGAATCGTTCGAAATAATAATTAGGTACTATACAATTATAATTTAATTTTTTTTTTTTTTTAACGTTAGGTGTTATCACCGTTGTCCTCGTTTATTGTATAAGTTACACGGATAACCGCAACGTGGTTTTTTAATCGTTCAAGGTAAAAAAAAAAAAAATGATCCATCTGCAGCGCTTAGGGCTTAGCCGGGGTGTGTAATTAATGTAGGTAATGAACTTAGGCTTTGCAATTTCCGTATGATTGGATAATCAAAAACCGTTTAAACTCAGTCCGGTTTCGATAATATATACATACATACAGGGTGATCCAAAAGAAGTCAAAAAGGGAGATTTTTTAAATGGCAACATATGTTTTTAATTACATAAACTTGTAGACAAAATATTTAAAAATATGTTAGCGTTTGAATTTTCATTTATCTGTTCATTAGCTATGACTTTGTAAAGATACTACATTTGTTCTTAATAATTGTCATATTTCTTCGGTTAGGTTAGGTTCCATTCTACCAACTGGGAAGTCACTATAAAAGATTTTGAAATGATGATAGACAAACGGTTCTTCTCT